ATGCTGAAGTGATTTGCTATTCCTAGAGCTGAAAGAGAACAACTGTCCCAAGACACCCAGCTGGCTTCATGCCTAAGGCAGGATTAGAACTCAGACTCCCAGTTTTAGCCTGGAGCCCTAGCCACTACACCAAAGAAATATCTCATTGAGATTAAAGAAAATAAATTATTAGAGAACAGTCCAAAGCCATTATATCTAAAATGTTTTCCTACAGTTTAATCAGATTTTATTATCTGATTAATATATATATATAGAATGCAGCATTTGTTTGGCTTTTGGTGAGGAAATAAAAATGTATACTTAACCTAGCTCACAAAAATCATAATTTTCCTAGAAAGAAGTTAATGAGAAAAAAAACAGTAAAGACCAAGACTTTAGGGGTATAATTGCTCTAGAGTTTAAGCTGCTTCTATCGCCAGGAAATTCTGGTGCACATTGTGACACTTTAAAACAAACTTTAATACAAAGTTGACAAATTTCATGGATGAGTTGGTTGAAATAGACCAAAATATGCAAGCAAAATATGCTGCATGTAGTTAGAGATTGTAATGTAAAAGTTGGAAATAGTAAGGGGGAAAGGGAGGGGAGGGGAGAGGAGAGAGAAAAAGTCAATGTTCTCATGAAAGAGCTTAAAAAAGAAGGATAGGATAGGATAGGATAGGATAGGATAGGATAGGATAGGATAGGATAGGATAGGATAGGATAGGACACAGTAGCCTTATTTGGCCAAATGTGATTAGATAAATAAGGAATTTGTCCCTGGTGTAGAAACTCTCAGTGTACATGAAAAACAACAGAGTAATAATAATCATAATAATGATACCAATAAGTGGGAATAATAATAACAATAACAACAATAATAATCAAAAGCCATAGATAGCTGTTAAAAGAGATAAGGAACAGTAATACAATGACATCTGTAAGGACATCAAAGATGGAAATAGACACCTTTCCTTGGTTCCCAAACCTCTCCAACCTCAGTTAGGATGCTAATGGATAGATAGTAACTAATTAAAAGATAGAAAAATCAGATTGAAATTCTTTTTAGCTAAAATATCCAAGACACCCTAGGCCTAGAAGATATTTCACATTTATAAAAAAACCCTCCAATACTAGAAAATGAAATTGTATCAATTCTCTGGTCATCACATTAAAGCTACAGGGAGTGCTAGAATATCTACAGAAATATGGCAAGGAACAGAAAAATCAGTAAAAGTTCTAACAAAATTAAGTCAGCAAATTGGGAGAATGACACAATGGTAACAGATTGAAAGGGTCAGTTTATATTACCAATACCAAAGAAAGGTAATACCTTTAATTTCACATGCAAGTAAAATAATGCTTAGGATCATTCAATGCAGATTAGGGCCTTACATGGACAGGGCGATGTCAGATGTTTAAGATGGTTTTAGAAAAGCTTGAGGAACAAAAATATTATTGATAATGTATCCTAGATAACTGAGAAATCCAAACAAGTTTAAAGACATGTCCTTCACTGCCTATTAAGGGCCCATGTGTGTTCACCATGTCAACCTGTGTAATAATCTGAATAAAATGGGAATTCCATCTAACAACTAATTTCTTCAGAAGAAACCTTATACAGTATATTAAGAAGCCATAGTCCACAAGAAACACGTTGAAACAAATTAACTCCATGTCAACAAAAAATGGTGGTGAGTGGAAAACTTATTGAGAGAGATGTTGTCCAACTATGTTCTTCAGAAATGGTTACCTGTTTTTTCCAGCAACTGGGTAATGGGGATGCATTCTGAGGAGACAGATATGTTGAAGTCATATTATAAATATTAAAATGCAAATACAAAATGAAAGAATATTTTAAAAGGGAGTTCCTTTTCTAAAAATCAGATAGCAATTGTACAAACCAATTGTACAATTGTTTGCTCAACTAAAAATAATGTTTTCCATGTTTCATGAAAGCAGGAAGCTTTCAAAGATGACCGCCATTATAGCACTTTTTAAAATATAGGTCTATCACCCATTAAAAAAATAACTGAGGCTTTTATTACACTAAGCTGGGAGTGAACCACCTAAACACAAAGTAATTTGAACTTCTCAGTAAATATATATATCTTTATATTAATGTTTAGTGGAATGAGTGTTAAATAGTAACTTCTTTATAGATCTGCATGTGAGAGAAATAATTGGTATGAGAAAAAATGTCATTTGTTTTTAGGAGATTAATACATGCTATAATTAGCAGCAATTTTGTTCTATGGTTAGGTTAACTGTAGAAAGACCCTGAAGGAAGCCTATCCCTAGCCATTTTCATTCTTGCATTAAATTTAATTTTTGTAATCTGTAATCTTCCTATGGGTGATCTGGCACATGTGTTCAAAATTGTCCATGTTTCTGGAGTGAGCAAGCTGGGTTGGGATGCATGCCTTTGAGGGACAGAGCACAAAGTCATTTTTCACATAATTTCCTTCCTTCTGGCAAGACAATCAGAAGGATGTCATGGCCAAAGACATCAAAGGATGCCAGGAGATTTTAAAAAGAAACAGAACTGCTCCTCCTACAAGAACCAACCAAGGCAATCAAGGATCAAAACAATAATTACTGTATTTAGTTCTGACCTATTCTACATACCGTAAGTCCCTTATGCTCAATGATCTGAGTATACAATAGATTATTTGTTCCTGGCCAATGATAAAGCTATTCAGACTGCTGTTTTCTGGGTTTCAGATGCTATATAATATCACATAACTGTCTTAAACTCTTTCTGTGTCTCTATTTTTATACTCTTTATATACTTATTGAATGTTTTCTTTATTTAAATTAAATTAAATACTAATTTTAAATATCATATTTTGTCTTTCCAATGTATGATGTTCTGGACTTGGAAAATAAATAAATAAATCTGAGTTTATATCCAAATACACAAAGAAGTGTTTATGGTATAAATTAAGTCCCTGACACTCTTTTTTCACTAGGGATATTTAGCATGGAGTAGTAAGCTAAAATGTTGTGAGAATACAGTAGTAGGAACATTATATTGTTCCATCCTCCTTTCCCATGCCAGCCAGTTAACAAAATGAATTCAGAGGGAAAATAGTTTGAGAATGCTGATTGACATTTGCTCCAGAAATGTATCAGTGATAATCAAGGCTAGGTTCCTTGCCTGAATACACCTTCTCAAATGGGTGGGTGGAGTCAGATAAAATTTAGACCCTTTGGCTCTCTGACTAATGAAGCAAGAAAAACTGGTTATTCTCTGGAACTGGAAGAATTAGCAGAAGACTTTACAGTACTGCATGGGCTGGGAACAAGATGGATCACCACATTCTTCTACTGTGTAGGGACTTATTGGTGAAAACCGACCTTATTTCCCTGATTTCAAACCACTGAGCACCATAAATATAAGCATTTTGAACTGGCTTTAAAAATATGCTGTGTTCTCTCATGTTTAAACATGTCAGATGAAGATCCAATCACTGCCATCACATAACAGATTAGTCTTGCTTAATTTTTATTTGCTTAACATGCAAATAAACCACTGGTTAATTTGATTCAGTGAATTGTACAACTGTCTTTCCAATGGCTTAATTCAGTCATCATATTAAATATATTGGGTGAACATAGCCATTGTTCAGTGCAGCTGATACCTTTTATCCTTTAGTTAGCTGTGTTTTGAATGCAACATAACTGAATTTAAAGCTTATTACAATGCTCCAATCAGATTATTGCAGTTCCAGTTTAAAACTACCACCAGCACTAGATTGCAGATGGGTTTACTGGGAGACCCTGCTGTAGTGCTCTTCTGTGATAATCAAACTGAGGACCAACATTAACAAGAGTGCCAGCTGATGCCTCCAGATGCTGTACTGATTGTATAGAGATCCCAAAGTCAAGGAATAATCCTGGGTTATAAATAAAGAGACAGAACATGGTAGGGATTATTTGACAAGAGAAGATCTCTATTATGTTATATATCTGATTATAAGGATTTGTAGAAAGAATTAATCAAGTTATTATACAAATCAAGTTCTACACTTGACATACCTATTTTAATCTATAAGAAAGTTGGCATAATAAGTATTACAGAGCAGAAATCATTCCCTTGTAAAACACTGATTTTTATCAGATCATTAACCACTCTAGATCTATATTGTTCTACCAGCTGTTTAGCCAAGTGATGTCCATTTAGTTCAGACACTTATTGGGTGTCTCATCTTATCCTGTGTGTTGGTGTTAGGTGGAGAAGCCAGATGTGAATGAATGTCCTGGAATGGAAAAGAAGTGAAATAATGCAATTCACACACCAGGCTAAATCAACACTGTATAAACTATATTAGGACTATACATGATCCAACTACAATGTCTAAATACAGATAATTTATTTAAAACAATCTAGCCTCTGTATCAGTATAAATTATTCACTATTCAGAAACAGTGTGTTCCATTTGAATCCATTCTTTACTAAAGTGTGCAGGGTAATTCCTTTCTTAAACATTTTATATCAGCAACTGCTCATATATAAAACATGTACTCAGATAAAGTTTAGTGATTAGTTGGCTTTTCATTTTCATCTTCATTCCCTTAATTTGCTTCATTACTGATCATTACCACATTGTTTATAAAGTTGTTTTCAAAGCAAAAGACAAAAGCATAAAATATTATTTTCAATTAGGTATATTCATTGCTTGCATTCTGCTCCGATACGACTATTCTCTTATTGTTTCTTTTCCTATGATCCTTTCTTATTACTCGTCTGATGAGTATCCTACCAGCAAACCCTTCAGAAGAACTTAGGCAAACCCAGGCACCTTACTTACCGAGGTTACGTACAAAAGACTGACGCTTTTTTTCGGACTGCTGCAAGCTCCTCCTTCTAAACGACGATTGGAGCGTTGTCAAAAACTAATTTCTCACTTAAGAGGGAATGAATGGCTCTGGGAGGACTAAGGCGTAGTTGAGCACTAAGACCGCAGCGGATTCCTTGCCGCCCCGGGTAGATTGCAGAGACGAGGAGATCTCCAGACACGAGAGGAGGCTATAGGAAGAGCATAAAAGCAATGCTACGACAAGCACATAGCTGAAAGGGAGAAGGACGCCAGAAGAGGAGACACCTGGCGAGACGCTCCGAAAGAAAAGGGGGGAGGAAAAACAGGTCTATCGCAGACGTGGTCCTTTCGGCTAGGCGTAGGGAAGCGTTCTCTTCAAGACCGGTCCAATGAACATGTCAGTGTTGACTTTGCAGGAATACGAATTTGAGAAGCAGTTCAACGAGAATGAAGCGATTCAATGGATGCAAGAAAACTGGTAAGTGATGACGGCTCGCGCCTGATTGGCCACTCTACGACTACGGAGCTCGTGCTCCCGCGGCGAGGTGGTGCCCGTCTGCGACTGGCGATCTCTACGGCATGGATTAAGTGAGCGAAGAGGAGGGCGACCGGGGGGGGGAGGGCAGTAAAATCGAGAGCCATGAACTGACCGACCGGGAGCAAAGGCTGAGAGCTCCGTGTCCGCGCGCCACTGATGCGTACCTGGACGGATGCATTAGGGGGTGCCCTGATTTGTGGGGGTTCTGCAAATCGCGGGATGGAGGGAGTGGCCTCGTGTTTTTGCGTGACTGGCTCTAGTGTTCGGACTGAAGAGGAATGTACCATTGTCGGGGAACAGCCTCCTGGATTGCCTCCTCCGGTGCAGAATAAATTATATAATATACTGTATTTCCAAGTGATGGATTCAGTAGGCTCGCGGCTTCTTTCCGTCTTTTATTTTTTTGATCAGGCCTTTGAACTTCCTCCCATTTCACGCGGAGTACCTCTGTGCCCTCATCTTAAAAGTCCTGTTGGTACTTGTAGTCCACTTGCCCTCCCCTGCAACTATTTCCGCCCCTAATCCATTGGCGGGCATGTTTTATCTCCACCTACTTCTGGGGTACGTGGAGAACTGATAAAATTGATTTATTTGGTGAATATAAAAGGCGCCATTGGGGAAGACAGGATTCAGGGATGAATTGGTTGGGAGGAATTGAAGAGTGCCTGAAGCTCAAGAGGTCCGGGAAGTTGGAGAGTAGTCTAACCCATCTTCGGTGCGTCCCTAAAGTTATCCGTAGCAAAGGTAGACGTTACCCTAATATTTCATGTCCTCCTGCCAGGATTCTTTGGCAAGTTATTTATTTCGTCGTCAAAATACTGCGGCGATCTAAAATCGCGTCTTTTGTTGTGATTTTTCCTTCTTTCTCACCACCATCTGACTTAAGACAGAAACCTGTGTGGCTTAGCATGACCTTGACTTAAGTGTTTTAAAACAAACAAAAAATTGGGGCAATCTCTAGGAAGCACGGTGGTTGATATAAGGACCCCTCGGTATGTTAGAAAGCGCTAAAAGATAACATTTGAGGGTTTTAGGCTTAGCGGGATAACGCGGGTGGTTTGGTTGTTGCAGACTTCTCCTTTTTTCAGCGCATCCTTTCAACCACCCGGCGACTAACGTGCACCTCCGAGCTTGCTCAGGCCGACCCGCGAGGCTCCGTGTATGCGCGCGCGCCTTTCTCAAACCGACACACGCCCTGAGTGGCGAATGAATGGTAGGCGGGGAAGGAGAAGGAGGTGCGCGCCGGGAGCTGTGTCTAAGGGGCTTATGGCAAGCCGGGGGTTCTATCCCGGAAACTTGCACGTTAATTTTTTGGCGCATGTGCAAAGTGAGTTTCCTACAGGAGAGGAGAGTGACTCAAGTCGCGGTCTGCGATGGAAAGGGCAGCAAACCTGGGGAAGCCCCTGTAAAATAAATAAAGGGCCTTTCGGGGGAGGTTGAGTCTCAGTATGTATTGCTTTATAGCTGAGGTGCAGTGATTGGGAAAGAAGCTAAGAAAGGAGAGCTCCGATAGACGAATGTCCCTTAGTCGTGGGTATCCGGTTTTTTTTCTCTTTTTGGCTTGGCTTATCTTCCCTCCCCCCGCCCCCCACAGGATGCCGGCGTCTTTTGCTCAAGTGGCAGGTCGCAGACTTAACGCTCGCTTCCAGCCACTTGACGCGCCTTCAGGTCTGATGCCCCTTCCCTTGAGCAGGCCCAGGCTGCTGCTTTGGCGGATTTTGATCGAGTATTGGCCTCCAAACGATGGATCTAGCAGGACCCTTCCTCCGACCCTTCCTCCCTCGCTTTGCAGCCTCGGCGTGAGGTCGGAGTTGTCCCTTGGACCACTGTCGGCAAAGGGACAATTTGAGGCGGCCTAGCGCAACACGGCGGTGTCCCTCCCTCCTCACCAGAGACAGGTTGGCCTGCAGCTACCCTGAGCAGACAGAAAAACTTGGCCCAGAATGTGAATTTGGAATGGGCTTAATGAAGGCTGCCAGGTGCCCTAGAAAAGAAAGGTGAGATAGGTTTTTTTTCTTGGCTTATTTGGGGCATATACGGAGTCTTATTATTTCTGCCCTTTCCTACTAATTAAATAGGTAGAAATTAGCAAATGTGGATTTAGCACACGTTGGGGTGTGTTCATGGTGACTGCACATCACACAGCTCCCAGAGTGGCAAAGTCCAGTTCAGAAGAAATGTAGGAGTCCCCCCCCCTTGTAAATAAAAGGATCCACTTCAGTTTCAATCTCCAGTGATGATTTTGTGTTTGGGTTCTGTGGATCTTTCCCCTTCATCAAGTGAAAAAGGGGACTTCATAGGCAAAGTGACTGACTAAGAACTGGACTTATGCTTTGGGATTCTGCCCATCTTCCTTTGTCTGACCCACATCTCATTTTGCCCCTGGACTCATTAAAATTATATGAAACAAAGGAAAATGCTGTATAGAAAGACGAGAGGTGGTTTAGAGCAGTGGTTAAGGCATCAGGCTAGAAACTGGGAGACTGAAGTCTAGTCCTGCCTGAGGCAGAAAGACAGCTGGGTGACTTTGGGACAGTCATTTTCTCTTCATGCCTAGGAAGAAATCAATGGCAAACCAATCTTCTCCCCCAAACCAGGGTAAACTGCTAAATAAGTGAGTTAAAACCAACCAGTTGCTATAAGGGGAGAAGAAAATGCTTGAAACTACAGGAAACTGGCCAATAAGCACAAATATGCCCTTTTCCCCAATGAAATAACAAAGGTTTGTTTCTTTTACCTTGTTGGAAGCCAGGTGTCAAAAACAGTATAGTGGGGAGGGATGGCTATGAAAGGAACTCAAGAAACCAACTGCTAACCAAAAAGACAAATGCTAGGAAAGAAATGTCTAGAGTGGAAGCTAGCTAGGGATCAGAAGACAGGTGGCTGATCAACACCTCTTAAAATCCCAAATTTCTCTCCACACTCAGTACAGGTCACGTAACTTCAGTATAAGGAATGGCAAAGATTTTACACACCTCAAGGCAGCTGTTGGGCAGCACTGAAATAAGGGGGAAGAATATTACTTTTGTATTATTTAGGCCAGTTTCACTGATGGCTGGGGATAAAACAAAAGCAACCTCATAAGATAAGGGGGAAATCGATGAAACTGATGTTGTCAGGACAATATTGTCACATGGTTACAGTAAATGTAAGTAAAGATTATGCCGATGTATTTAAAAAAACAATTCCTTTTTTTTTCAAAGTTTCTTCCTTACATACAATGTGATCAATTCATATATTAAGCCATATTAGATTTTGTTTGGTTTTGGCTTAGTATGTTGTGCGAATCCAACAAGTGCAATTTATAAATCATAATCTATAATACTTAGTGCATTATATAATCCAGACAGTAGTGTTTCATTCAAAACATTGATTAAAATCAGTTGACTGTGATATACAAACTCAGTTACTAAAAGTTTTATATTTCCTTTTCCTCTGCTCAGAGTTTAATAACTCCCCTTATCCCATACTAATGGCTTGATTTAGACAATATGCCAAGAACAAGAAACAAACCACTTTTAAAACTAATAAGCATAGCATATTAGGTAAAAGTGAGTTTTATGTCTCTTCATGTGACCACACACAAGTCAGGGTAGCTCTTTTAGTAAAAAAAACACTTGATTAAAATTTGATAAACTCTATAGAGTCTTGCACCATAATACACATATTAATTTCTAAAATGTCACAAGACTTAGTTTTTTTCTTCTTACATTACATCAACTAATTAAACAGCTTGTTGAACTTCTCCCTTCTCTACATTCTTCTCCCATAAAGAAACAGAAAATTCATCACTTTCTCTTAGTAGTGCTGCCCATGATAAAAGAAGACAAATATTTCTCTCTCACACTGTTTAGTTTTTTTCTAAAGAGAAGCTAAATATTGAATAATATTGAAATGAATGTATGCTCACTTTTGATTCTACAAACAATATGGATGCAGTAATAATGACTCAATTTAAAATGTGTGACAATTATAATATAAAAAGGTAGAAAAAGTAATTATGCTGGAGGATTTTGTAATCTCAAATATATGCAAGATAAGCTTGGTTACTCAATGGAGGAATCAAATAACCTTCCCAGATGTTAGGGAGTTGTATGTACATTTTGCCATACAAATACCTCAAATGGTTTTAATATTAACTACATGTCAGACTGATAATTTTATAGAGAATATGTCTATTACGATAGATTTAATTATATGATTAGAGGTCAGAGATAACCTCTGCAAAAAAAGACACTTCTGAGTTGAACATTTTACTTGTTTGCCTTTAATTTATATAAGAGGATGATCATGTCTTCCCCAGAAAATCCATGCAAGGAAAAATTGTCACTTTTCATTATTGCCTGCAGCTATTAAGAACAAAAGCATGCCATTCCACTAGCCATTGTCTCTACAACAATGTTTTTTCCCCAATAGTGTCAATGTATCTACTATGAAGTTTGACTGTACTGTAACATAGGATTTTAGAAGCCTTTCACTCACCAGCCTGCCTTCTGTATACTGCATGGGTCAGAACGAGGGCTGAGAAAATATCTACAGATACCTTATACAGTGGGACAAAAAAATATGTAGTCAGCCACCAATTGTGCAAGTTCTCCCACTTAAAAAGATGAGAGAGGCCTGTAATTGTCATCGTAGGTAGACCTCAACTATGAGAGACAAAATTAGAAAACAAATCCAGACAATCACATTGTTTGATTTGGAAAGAATTTATTTGCAAATTATGGTGGAAAATAAGTATGTGGTCAATATCAAAAGTTCATCTCAATACTTTGTTATATATCCTTTGTTGGCAATGACAGAGGTCAAACTTTTTCTGTAAGTCTTCACAAGGTTGGCACACACTGTTGCTGGTATGTTGGTCCATTCCTCCATGCAGATCTCCCCTAGAGCAGTGATGTTTTGGGGCTGTCGCTGGGCAACACGGACTTTCAACTCCC